TCATTGTTCCCTGATCTCTGTACTGTTGGTATTCTTGCTTTCTCTCTGTTGCTGGAACAATATGTGTGTGTGGTATTTAGCTGCACAAGTTTTCACAACTTTGTATGCTTTACTCCAATCTCACGGGTGACTGGTTGCACAGACCTGGCTTGCTTTTCCTATCCCATAGCCATTAGCCAATTTCCAAGCGATTTGAATGTCTTTCCTCATTTGCACCTCGAAGCTTCTTCCTCCTCACCTCCTACAAGGAGGAAATACTGACCATCTTCCCGGCAGCTCTAATGATCATGTGCCTGTGACATCTTTTTCTGGCGACCACTAACGTTGGATTGGTCACCGTTCTAGGGAGTAAAAGCTGTCTTTTGTTGGTCCTGTGACTTGGGTGCTGAGGGCGCCCCCTAGAGACGGGGGGAGTCATTACTAGTGGTCCCTGATGAGGCTGGTGACGACGACGATGACGACGATGATGGACGGGAGTTTTTCCTTTCTCCGTGGCTCCTAGGGTCCTTTCACACATGCTCCATGAAAGAGTGTTGAATCCTTGTCCTCCTGCACTTTGAAGCATGGCAGGGAACAGCATCCACGCATGGCAACACCAGCCCGACAACCATCTCCTAGCAACGCACGTCCTCTGCCCCAGGAGGAATCTGGAGGTCTCTGCTGCAGTCACACCGCGCATTTCCTGGAGGGCAATCAGCGTTTCCTCATCGCTTCTCAAACTCCCATCGCTCTTGCCCCGCGTCTCACTGCTGCTCGCATCCAAACACTTCATTCCAACTGGCTGAGCTGTTTTATTGGAATGAGTCGTTCTTGGGATGAAAATAACAAGCCCGCAAAATTTAAGACAAAAAAAAGAAAAAGCGGGGAAAGTAAATTAGCCTGGATTCTTAGAAACTGCTTTTGGCAAAGTGAACATGAGACCAATGCAAAGAATACCACTTAAACTGAGATTATTTTTTTTTGTCACCATTTTCTCAATTGTATTCACTTGTACTCGTATATCACCATATTACCAAAAATATGTGTCTAATGTATGATGCCAAAAGTTTTCCCTGACCGTGCATGACCTTTTTTGATTTGCCTTTTAAGAAACAAAGCAACAAAAAGATGAAACTCCAATGAGCCCTCGTGTGACAGAAGGTAATCAAAACAGCCTCTGCACGCAACTGCTAACATGCGTGCATGTTCTTTCCCCTCCATGCTACAGTCCCCATAGCTTCCTCCCAGCCCCGTCACCACAAACCACCGTTCCCACAGTATTCCCGTGACTCTCGGCTGCTCCCCCTCTCTTCCCTCGAAGGGCCCAGACTCCACCAAAAAGGCAGGAGGGCTGCGTTGGCGAACAGCGAGCTGCTCTAGCCCACCTTCCTCACATCTGAGAACCTCTGTGAAATCCTAATCCCCAGAGCAGGGTGAAGCGCAGGCCCAGCTTGCCTGACCTCTCTGGTTGCCATGGATACAGCGCACTATAAATAAAACAGAGGGGGCTTTTTTTTTCCCGAGCAGTTTGGCAGGGCTGTGTGGCCTGCTCACTGGTGGGGCTTATTTTCTCCCTCCCTCCCTCCCTCGGTCTGTCTCTCCTCACTCTCATTCTACTCCCCTTTTCACTTATTCTCTCAATCATTGAGTGTCCGTCCTCTTCCTCTGTCTCGTGCTTCCTCCCTCTCTCCTTGTCTCCGTTTGCTCATTCAATATTTCCATTCAACCCCTTCAAAACCGGAACACCTGTATTAGTACCGTAGCTGTATTTAGACTCGTTTAATTCTTGCAAGACACGGCAGTTTAACAAGTCGTTGTTCAAATTGAGAAAGTAAACACACAGACAGGCAACTTGTTTGGCTGGTAGCAATTTAAATCTGTCACGTAAACACACAAAGGGCCGTCTCGACAGAGGCCAAGTTAGTAAAAAAAAAAAAAGGAAGACTTTTGTTGATTGTTGCAGAAAGGCACGAGAGACTAGGGAGGAGTGTGCTTGCGCACTGAATCAGGACTGCGCTGCAGATTTTTGTCTGGCAAGGCACATCTCGGAAGGCTGGAAAATAATTTGGTCATGGCTGTGGGAGGTTGTTGCGAGTGGGAGGCGTGTGGGTGATGTGGGGGAGAAGGTTTGAGGGGTGACTGGTTGGTGGGAGGAGGAGGAGGAGGAGGAGGGGGGTCGGGTTTTGACCGTCTCGCTGTGGTGAAAACATGCTTGACACCTCATTCCTTTCCAGTTAATGTGGAGCGGACTGCAGGATGTTAACCCCTTAGCCTGCCTTTTGATGCTTGGTCTCCGCTGTTGCACAATAAGTCCTCAAACACTTCCTGCTTTACAGCCGGGCTGAAACTTTCCACGGCAGTCCATGGAGGATATCAGTCCTGCCAGTCGTGGGAGGGACGCTTACAGTATACATTATTTTCTGGTATCATGTCTACATTAGCTGAGTGTAATACTGTGAGACAATATGACAGGCCTGCTGTGCAATCTTCAGAAGCTGTCATGATGATTTGAAAATTTGACCATCACATGCCAGATACTCTTTGTCTGGGAGAATTTTGAAGAGTAAGCTGCATTTCCCGGACCATCTGCCTCGTATGAATTACACAAAAGACAAGACCGGCACCAGCAAACATCCACAATGTTGCCTGGGAGACAGAGGTCACATGAGAAGATGAGTCACAGAAACCCAGAAACTACCTCGAAACCGACGCTATCGAACGGCCTCGCTATCGCAGTGCTCTTTACAGTTTGGCGACACGCAGAAGGATTAGTGTCGTGTCAGTGCATAAACGGCAGTGAGACGGTGCCCTTGGCAAAAGGCAAGTAAACAGTTAAACTTAATGGGGCCGGAATGTGATGGCTCAATAAGAATCCACTTCAGTGGCAGTCACTATCCTTTACTAGCTACACACACACAGACACACAGCCCTGTGTGCATATCAACCTGTGTGTGTGTGTGTGTGTGTGTGTGTGTGTGTGTGTGTGTGTGTGTGTGTGTATATGCAGACCTGGAGAGTAGGGAGTTAATGCAGGGAGGGCTGTGGCAGTCCTCCTGCCCCTCAGCCAGATTAATCATGCAGGAGAGACACAGCAGGCCCCCGTTCATTCTGCCTGGGGGTGAAGCTGTGCCCGCATGCTCTCCGTATCACATGGCCCTGGCCCCCCTCTCCTCTCTCCTCTCCTCTCTCGCTCTTTCTCTCTCTACTGGGGGTGCTGTGGATGGGGCTGGTGATGGAGGAGGCGGAGGGGGTCTATTGGTGGTGCGGTGGAACACCACAGCACACAGTATAGCTTTCTTTCTCTTTTTTTTTTGTTCCTCTCTTCCCCCTTCACTTCCCCTTCTGTGGGTGTGAAGCGAGTGAGGCAGAAAAAAAAAGAGAGAAACAGGCGTCTGTCTCTCCTGCAAGGAGACAACAACAGCCTCTTTTTTTTATCTCCTGTCGGAGGGCCCTGACGACAGCAGTGGCCAGGGTCGGTGGATGAAGAGAAGTGTGTGGGGCGGGGGGAGCGGGGGGGCATACCAAGGGACTTGCCACGGATATCTCCTGGAAACTGCTCGCCGATGTCTGTGCGCATCAGAGAACAGCCACGGCCATTGTTGGGCTCATTGGGAAAGGGTTATCTTGGCGGCATCGCACAGTTGCGTGTTTCAGCATTTTGCAGTGTGTTGCACAAGCACTTACAGTGTGTGTGCAGTATAGAGCCATATATGATTCATGTTGTGTTATGCTGCAACTCTTCAAGATGAGCAGCCTACTGTCAAGTTGATTGTAAACGGTACATATGCGCCTTTTCTGGAATTGGCTTCCCCGCGGACTGTATGTCAAAGCAAGATGCACTTTTTGGAAAAATAATACCGACACTGGTGCCTACCCCTCTCTCTCACACACACACACACACACACACACACACACACACACACACACACACACACACACACACACACCAAGATCCATGTGTAATTGGACAGAAGTGCAGTGTTTTGGAATTCATGCTTTGACAAAGAGACTTCATCAATTGTTTTGCTGGACATTTCCAATCACATCAAAAGAACCGTTGACACGCTTTTTTGGTAGAATTAAGCATTGTCTTTTCGTACTTACCGAACAAAGCATTTTAAAGTACATTTTCAGTGTAATTTAGTTTTTTTTAAAAGTCAAAATTGAACTGTTGTGCTGCATATTTGGCCAATTTCCTGCCATTTGGACTGAAATATACTCTACCATCATCTTGACAAGTTTATCATATAACATGTTGTATGAGGTTTGTGCACTGACATTTTTTTCTAACTTCAGTGTGCAACTAATTCTGATAGGACTACTTCTTTCTCTTATCTGCCATTTGTAGTTATTGATAGTATAAAGTATAATATGTATACTTTTTAAATCTGACAGTGAATAGCTCCTAAGACACAGGTGCTACTCTTGCTTCAACACCCATAACCAGATTCATTAATGGACATTATTCTGCCACTTTACCGCAGCAGAGGGCCTTTCTCACTTCTTCATCACGGTAATGACACATACAATGTTAGAGTGTTGCTTTTATTCACCCCAGTGAGCTGATTTGTACAGATTAGCCTGCTGCCAAACATTAGCTGAGGTAACTGCGATCTGCAATGGAAGTTACAGATACAAATGTGAAAATATGCCATGTAAGTTTAGCATTGGCAAACGTTTGAATTTCAATTCAAAGCTTGGGGAGCATCGCTGGAAATTAAGCAAGAGTTGTCTGAGCACAGTAATAACAAGCGTCGGGGTGGATGTGCGGCCCTGCTGGAATTCAAATTTGACACTGGCTCTGGTGAAGCATGCAGGTCTATGTGTTGAGGCTGGACATTTAAAAACTGCATATATTCTCAGTGAACTAGCTGCAACCTTTATGGCATGTTAGTGTTGTGGGTTGCATTCTGCTAATCAACGTTTCTCATCTCATACAAGACATTAAAAAGAAATATGTTTATTTCAGTGTGGAATTATGAAGATGACAAAAATAGAAAAAAAAGAGCACTTAAAAGATACAAGGTGCAAGTTAGACAATTTTATTATTTCTTTGATTGCACCATACAAGCTTGACAACAAAGATACAAAATGTCTCTCACTTTACAACTGAGTTGCAGTAATGTTAAATATCCCATTACAAAACATCTTTCTCCCTATTTAAAATGTAAAAAAACAAATGTAAAAAGTACAACCCAGCATCTCTAAAATAGTTCTGGAAATATTGCAGAAAGTAACATGGAGCTGGATTATTTGGCAGCGACTGTCTGACTTGATCCACTGGGAGTGGCAGACGATGCATTTGGCACTGTCACTGGTCCACAACAGGTCGCAGTGAGGCTCCTGCCAGGTGGCAGAGGGAGACATACATTGCATTGTGACAAATAAACAACCCTAAAGTATTCCCAAGGAGGAGACAGCAAGATGAAGGAGGACCCTACTGTGCCTTATTTCTACCCCATTATGCCTGCCCATGCCCAGTCTTTTGTCCTGAACCACACACGTGTGTCTGCATATGAGCTCATGCAAACTGTCTGAAAATAATGTCATTGGTAAGTAAATAATATCGTGTGTATAGGGTTTGTGAATTGGACATTAAAAAAAAACGTGTGTTCTTCCCGCATGTTACACAAAGTGGAAAGCATCAACATCAAGTGAAAACATGTGATAGACATCAATTCCCTGGAAAAAAAAAAAAATACATACACGTTGTGATCAATTGCTTTGGAATTTCTTTCCCACGAAGAGTGTTTACAGTACTGAAGCTTCCAAAAATACAACAAAACCATTACATTCAAGCATTTCCATTGCTGTGCTTTGGGAGTGATGGCAACATCGTGAACATTACCATTTTCTTCATTCTCGCTTTTGTGTTGTTCATCCCATTGACCCACTGGCCGAGGCTCCACCTTAGGTGTCCGACATTGTTCAGCGTGGCTTTATTTGATTCACTGGGATGCGTGAAGCTGGGTGGGCGTCTGTGCATCAGTGTGTGAGGATTACCTGACAGTAGGTGTGGTCGTTAGACGCAAGTGGCCAGGCTTGTTGGGTAGAGGTGGCTTGACGCCGCGAGAGGGGGTCTGTGCGGGGGTTGTAGCGCCTTCGGTGCTGAAGGTTTTCATCAGCTGGGCCACCCGGCCACGCCCTGCGCAGGTTGGTCCGCTCCCTGATGCCCCGGCCTCCACCGAGGCAGCCCTCCGAGACGCTTCTGATGCACCAATATCTGAAAAAAGAGAGATTTAGATTTCCTTAAAATATGGGACAACCTGACAGAAAGGGGTTGTTCATTTCAATTCTTTATTTTTGGTTTTGTATTTTAAAAAAAGTTAAACAAATAAAAATTGGAATTTAGATTGTGTATTTTTTTTATTTCAAAATTGGCTGATAATTGGATTTAAAAACTCAAACTTTAAAAAATAATACCATGTGCAGAATCTATAATGCCAGAGTTTATATAAATACATGTTCTTCAAACTGTATTTGTAACTTTATTTGTAATTGCATTTTCAGGTTCTTTGTTTTAAGTGCTCCACTCTGCATCTGCTGTAAACTGTCAGATCCTGAAATAAACTTTTTCCTAACTTCCTTCGAGGGATTTTGGTACATAATCATTGCTTCATTAGCATTTTCTCTGTTTTTCTCTTCATTGTGTATTATGGGACGATTTTCTGGGCTGTGCCTCAAGGGGACATTGTTTACTGTAAACTACAGCGGTCAGTGTCTCATAGCAGCTGGAAACACAACACCATTAAGGAGCATGGGAACATAAAATCCAGGTGAAATTCGGTTTAAAACCATTAACCATAAACAATGAGAGTTACACATTTAACGCATGTATGCTATTGCTGCAAAAGCAGGAATCCAGTCTTTCCACACTACCTGATACATGTCTCCCTCAAAATACTGTGTCTACATCTTTCCTCACTCCTTTCTACCTGCTTTATTCTCGCCTGCCTTTATCCCACTCTGGCTGAGCAGAGGTCATCCTCACTGGAAGTGTAGGGACACAGCTGGGTGTAGTTGGTGTGTGTGTGCTTGCTGAGGTACTGTGTTTTGAAGAGGGTGTAATTGCGAGAGGAATGGAGGGAACAGGAGTAACTGAGGGGAGGGGAGGGGAGGGGAGGGGGGGGGGTGCCACAGGGACGGCAATGGAGAGCAGACAGACGCTGCTCAGACACCAGAAGGCTTGAGGAGCCACATATTTTTAGCGTCATCCCCAGGGGACAGAGATATGTGAGAGCGCCCGCGTGCACGGCTACACACACACACACACACACACACACACACACAGAGTGAAGTGAAAACAGGCACAAGCATACACACTACACACAGTTTCTAACGGTTGAATTGAAAAGACACACGCATGTTCTCACGTTACATTCAGGTCCGTGCATGCTCACACACAAACATGAACCTTCGCACAGCCCTCCTGCTCATGGATTCAGTCACGCATGCAGCCGTCTCTGACTAACACCATCGCATAGCACACACACACACACACACACACACACACACACACACACACACACATATATAGAGGTGGGGTACAGCCAAAACCACGCAGGCACTCCCGGGGCCAGGAAGCCTTTAAAGCTCTTGGTATCTTGCAGGCATGAGAGTGGGAGACCTAAAGTTGCCTTTAAGCTTGTGTTATTGTTTATTGTTGTTTACCGCCTCTCCTCGCTCTCTCTTTCCCCCTCTCTCTGTGGCTCTAACACCTCCCTCCACCTTCCTCTTCATCCTCCTCTCCCCCCGTCTTGCCCTGCCTCCCTCTGCCCCCTGACCCGCAGTTCCTGTGTTAATGTCCTCTCGCCGCGCTGCGTGGGCTTGCCTCTGATTGTCTCGTTGTGTTGTGTGGTCACCACGGAAACCTTGGATAGGCTCCAGCAATTGAGGCTGACACACATTCAGGCACGCACCGAGCACACACACGCAGTCGCACACACATATAGCGCACAAACACATCCACAGGCACATACACACCCACGGTCAGAGAGTTTCTTGAGCTCACAGCCTCGGTGCAGGGTCTGAGTGGAATGCTTAATGGAGAGAGAGAGAAAGAGGAGGAGAGGGAGAATTGCTGCTGTGAGCTTGGACTGTCGTAAAGAAATAATACAAATATATATGTGTGTGTGTGTGTATATATATATATATATATAGATATATTATATATCTATATATATACGGATACACACACATATGTATTTCTTGAAGTAAAACCCTAATTCTGGTAACCTGACTAACCTGTCTTAACACACCTAAAACATGCTCAAGCCCCACGCCTTTCTGCCCAAAACTCTCCCCAGCAGCTGCACTCTTAGCCCTGTCAGCAGAAACCGTCATTAAAGCTACCTGCGAAAACACCTATTAAAATGAAAGAGAAATCTCTGCATTAAATCACTCGCCAAGATTGATTAATCTCCCATTTGAGCTTTCGAACGCCACTCCTCACATCTCAGTCCAACTCGTAAATGTACAGGGAGGACAAAGAGGAGGGGGCGGGAAGTGCTGTCACTGACCAGGCTAGCGCGAAAATTAAAGACCAATCTTTCTCTTTAAAGACCTCCATGTCTCTGGGAGAAAGAGGGGGGGGCAGAAGTGGGGCAGAGGGCAGAATTCCCGAGCAGCATGTCTGTGGACTGAAGGGCAGGGTGGAGAGGAGGTGTGTGTGTGTGTGTGTGTGTGGAAGCAAGGAGGGGGGGTGGCCCTCCTGTGTGGGGGCTGGAGCCCCTGTCACTTATCAGCTCTGGCTGAGCGTCGCCCAGGGCTAGAGTCGGGAAGCAGCGCTGGAATGCGTGTCCTTCCCTCTGAAGGTGAAGAGAGAGGAGAGGAAAGCCGGCCGACAGACAGCGAAGGGTTTATAAACACGAACACACACACATGAACACATACCGCCAGCTGCTGGAGATTGATACTCTTTCATGCTCACGCATATATGCTTAAGTCGTATGACTCTTCCACTGACTACACTACACGCTCCCCGTATTATCTGGTAATGTGTCTTCACTGTCGTTTTTATGCAGATGACACATGACATTAACATAGCAACAAGTTATCAGTCAGCCTCATCATTTTCAGTTTTTACAGATTTTAAAGGAAAAATCCCCGGTTTGTATAAACCCTTGTCCCTAAACGGTTATGTTTCCTGCTGAGAGAGGACACTGATCATAGCAGTTTGCAGTAAATTAGGTCCTCTTTGTGACATTGACAGCACAGAAGATGCTTCAGGTAATAAACACTGAAGAGAAAAATTGTGAAAAAAGGGATTAGTAACTATAGCGAATCATTTGCATGGTGTAAATAAACACTGTTTCTGATGCGTACACGTTTTGTTCAGCAAGATAATCTTCACAAATGAAAGCCACTTTGTGATTTTAGAAGCGTCAATTCAACCGTCAGAAGTAAAAAGCCAACGTTAGGCTATAAACTAAGTACTCCACGGCACAACAATCATGACCAGGTTCCTCAAGATAATCCACAAACCTTGCTGTGAGCGGTTTCATGTCGGAACTATGGTTGAGAGTAAATAGTTCCGACATGAAACAACAAGGTCTGCTGTACAACTTCTTGAATTCTCAAGTGTTGTGGAAGTCAAAACAAGTTTAGTCCAGCTCCAGTGGGCACTTGTACAGATAAATGAGTGTTACTAACGCAGACTATTAAGTTCATCTTCTACAACTGTTGTGTGGGCCACAGTCTCTGCTCACAGGATGCAGGAGTCCTTGCCATCACCCTCATTCTAAAGAAAACAGCTGAGGCATGAGCCTTATCCTAATCGGCCTCCTCCTCCCCTTTGGAACAAGCTTCCTGCCATTGTCAAGGACAGACACTCTGTCAGTATTTTTTTTTTGTCCACAGTCAGGACACATTTATTCGGCACTGTGTTCAGCCCACCTCAACTCCCACCACGCCAGCTGTTCCTTTGCCTTTTCCTTCATTTGTCTGTTATTTGCTGCCCTGGCATTGCCCACTGGTCTCATATCCAGCCACCAACGTGGGTGCAGGCACACACACACATAAACATGCCTGTGCCACCATGATTCATTTGTGTTGTATCTTTTGTTATTTTCTTTCTATCCAGGTTTTAGTCATTTGTGATCTGTGAAACTCATCTGATTGATAATCCGCCTCACTCACCGCACATGCCTCCACAAACAGATTTCTTACTTGACGCATTAAGAGCACAAATTCACTATTTGATTATCATATTCTATGTTCGGCCATCTGTAAACATGATTTTATAAACACTTCCAGAATTTTGCCTCTTGGTGACAATATTAAGAGAATGTGAGCTCTCTTGTGTCTGTCTGTCTTTTGGAGAGATTTTCACAGCCTCCAAAATCTACAATAACCTGCCAGGAACGTTGAAAATGAATTCAGCTATCTAGATGCTAGAAAGCATGCAGGCTTTTTTCTGAGGGAAAGGATCTACATTGACAACATTTGACTGATACTATATCTATTTGTTTCATACATTTCAAACTACACTAGTTAAACACGGCATTGACTCAGCACAACATCTCAAAGCAATAAGAAAAAGTGCTCTTGCAGCTGGAACAGCGATGCTATATGTTTCGTTTTGTGTTCGCTTTTTTATTGTTTATGAGCCACATAAGAGTCAACTCTCCTAGAAAATATTCAAATACTGAAATTATCTTACGTTGCATTTCAGCTTTTCTGAAAAAAAACTGAAGTATGTCTTCCCAGAGCAAGTTAACCTCCAGCAAAAGCAGCAATGTGTTTGCAGTTTGAATGTGCTGTAGGATGAACATTTTTCCAGCAGAGGGACCTTTTTATGGAGATCAGGATTCATACCCGACTGCACTTTTTTTCTACAGTTTCACTGTTTTCCACTGGATGGTGCTAATGTCCCCTTACACGACCCATTTTTCTAAATAACTGGGTCACTGTATGGTGAATGAGTGTTTGGTCAATTCATGAATTTGGGTGCTGTGTTCAAAGAGGACGTCTGGGATTCACAATGGTAATTCAAACTAGAGGTAATCTGCACAGCATACTGAAAGACCTATAGTGACAATAATATTAATGTCAAGGCCCAAGATATCTGTTGAGAAGAAAAAGCTCCCTACGATCTATGAGCCAGGCAGAGATATTCAAGTAACACCGACCATATAACAGACACAAAGAGAGATACATCATCCCACTGGTTTGTGAAAAATGGTGGTAACCAGTTTAAATGTAATGCCTGTAATGGTTGTAGTTAATCAGTTAGTTTTGCCACCACTCTCCCCATTACAAAGTTACCAGTTCTTACTGCTTTGTTGACATCAAAGGCTGCCAAATAGCAGAGACAACATTGTGTAAGGCCAACAAAAAGGGCCCAAAACAGTGTCCAATCCACCAAAACATGTGACCTTATTTCCTTATGTCATTTAAACTAAATTGGGGGTAACTGTTACGAAGATATTTAATTAACGTAAAATGATCTGATTATTGACCAATAAACATCAACCGAGTGCAGGGTTAATAGTTATGCCAAATAACTGAATAGCAGGGGAGGAATGTAAGATTTTAATTGAGCTAAATTTGACCATTTACTAAAATAGCATGGCTGTTAGAGACCATGACGTTTTGAGAGTTTCCCATCATTTCAGCCCACATCACAAATCCTGTAATTCTGTTCTGGAGGACCAGTGGTCCATCTTACCATCAGTCTGTCAGACTTGATCTGGCTGTATGACCATGCACCTCAGCCAAGCTATAGAGTGTTTATTGACAGTTTCCCTGCTAACACGTGCCCTTGACAATAGCGCTAAGCTACCAAACAAACAGGTGTGTGGGAGCGATGCAGTGCCACCACGACACAACTCCCAGTCACAGAAGCTTTTTTGCCCCTCTTGGCTGGCCTCTCCCTACTCTGCCAGACCATAAAGATTCCAGCAGGCTGAGGCACTATTTGGCGAGCACGTTAGATTTGCAGAAATAAATCCTCCTTCAGTGCTGCACGGATGTCTGTATTGACTGTTTATCCATGATGACACCAGCCATCATTAATGTTGCTGTTTGTGTGGACTGGAAAGATATGAGCTCATTTAATGGACATAGAGGAAGATTTTCTTTCTTTCTTTTGACATCAGACCAGTTATGGACCCTTACCCGGGATCCTATGCTCACTCACCTTTCCCGCTCTGCGATTCCTTGGGCTTCTGAGCTTCCTGTGAGGACAGGCCACCTTTGGTTGTTCCAGAGTCCATTTTCACAGTGCTGCTGGTGGAAGGGGATGGTGCGGCGGTGGCCAGCCTCAGATTTGCGAGGCAGAGTCTCGTGTTGACAGAGCCTGGTGCTGCATTTGGAGAAGCTGGTCTCACATTGACATGGCTAGCTCTCATGAGAAGCCTGGCACAGATGGAGGGCTCGCGAACTGACTTCTCTTCAGTCACACTGGCTGACTTCAACTCGGGCTGCAGAGGGAAGAGTGACAACAGGGGACAGAGGAGCGTGATCAGTGTTGACGGCTAATTCACATACAGTGAAATTACCATCATGTTTGATTAAATCATTGGATAAATGATTCACCAAATTACAGTTCTCCAATGACTACACCCCGCCATAATGAAACACACAGAACTATGACCACTGATTAAGAGTTTAAGGATGGGTGGAGAGAAAATTATAAGGTGACTTGGAAATCAAGCAGCCTCGCTAATCTTCCTTCCTGATCTCACGCCTTCTTAATCAACAATCTCACTCTCTCCTCCTCTCCCAGGCTGACTCCTTCCCCTCTCTAAATCAACTGGAGAAAATCTGCAGCAGGGCTAGCAACAGCCACTAATACATCTGCAGCACCAAACCAGCTCCTTCCGGTTCCCCAGAAACAAATCACTCTACCTACGTACAAGACATTCAACAGAATAATGCATCTTGCAAGGGGAGGCTCAGGCTGTCAGACTGGCCAAACCACCTAAGGTGTGGATTTTCATTGCCACATTGGCATGGGTTGCCCAGCGATGTTTTGGGGCCTGTAAAATAGAGAGTCTGGTATAGAAATAAGAAGTGAGGGAGAGACGTCTCCTTGTAAAGAGGAGGGAAAAACAGAGAATGGAGGAGAGCTCACGTGCCCAAACCTCAAGAGACTATCCCACAATCCCATCCATCTGCGACTGACGCATTCTCTATCTCTGGCATTTTAATTCCCTGATCAAGTTCATCAACCATCTGTTCTAGGGCAGTCCAGAAATCCTGCCTTGCCTCTGTGATTCAGCTGTTCTTGCAGCGCGTGTCACCTACACACATACACACAATTGCGTGCACATGAACACAGAAAGAGAAAGGAAGCAAGGGGAGATGGAGAGCATCCTCCCCAGACAACCCAAGGCTGGAGCGATGATGGAGCCAGTGGGAGGACACTTCGGTTCAGCTGTTCCCCCGGAGAGAGCTGTGAGGGGTGCGGCGGCTCAGACGAGTAGGAACACAGAGAGAGGGGAAAGACGATCCGCAGAGAGGCTGGGAGTGAGGGGACAGCTGGCACAACCACCATTTCCTGTTACTCACAGAGGGTGTGACTGCCATGAAAAGACACGTAGGCACACCGACACCACATTTCAAAGAAGCCAAAGAGCGGATTAATCACACCTGTTTTAAAATGTGTCGTGCGGTGTAGACAACACTAGAACCTAAACTGTTCTTTTGCTTTATACACCATCTTGAATGTTTACAAAGAGCGGCAAAATGCTAAAACTGGATAGCAGCAACTATAAAGAAACAAACAACTACAGTTACTTTGATTCATAAATACCTTCTCTGCTGCTGTAGGTGATGAATGCTCACTCACTGACACCTGTGGGTTTAACGAAGACATTACACAAGTGTTACAGGCCGTGATGCAACCCCATAACACAGAGCTCAATTATAGCAGGCAGTTGCTCCAACTCACCGGCAGAGGGGGTACGGTGCTGGTCTCCTCACACTTCCCCTGTAGGGAGAGACAGTGACATGTTAGAGGATACTAGAGGCAACACATCATCCTCCTTAACTTTGAGTCAGTTAGGTACTTTAATGAGCTGGGAAGTTAAGTTAGAGTTGATCGTAGAAAAAAAGAAATATTGCAAATGATAAGTCGACTATTTAGAAACATATCTGTGCAGTGAGTGTGATGATGCGAGTGCAGGAACATCAGTGACTGGCTGGGATGCTCATATTTCCACTGTGCAAGCAGCATGCAGCTTTAGCTCAGAGAAACCGTGGCGGTCAGGCCAGATGAGACCCGGCTCGCTCCGGCTCAGTGTGTGCGAGGTTGCCATGATAACGCAGCAAATCTCTTTTTAAGAGAGCGTGGAGAAAGCCCCAAATTTTCTTGTTAAATGCATTTGGTCTTTTCAAAAGATACTTCCGTCTTCACATGAAGTTAGGTTCAGGCAACATAAACCACTCACTAAGGTTTAGGAGAAGAGTGCTTTACGTTAACTTGACTCACATGACTAACCACTGACGGGATGTCAACAAAATGTCAATGTTTACTCTTAGTTTTAGTTTTGCACACAGCGAACAGCAAAGGCCTTGGATAAAAGGATGAAAACGGCACGGCTGGCGATTTCCACACGTTCTTAGAAGCAACACGTTGAAAGCGTGGTGCGTCTGTATCAGACGCTGAGGGGCACTGACCAAATATCAGCATTTGATGAGTTGGGAGTGAGACCGGGTTGATTGCGGGGAGGAGACAAAAAAAAAAAAGTGGTCTGACCAGTGATTCACAATGTAAATCTTTTACACCTCTTTTGTTTCTATCAGTCTTTATATATCTTTGCGTTCATATACGGAACGATAAGTTGTTCAACCAGCCCAGTTAACAGAATAATGATTTTCCTATATTCTTTTGTTTTGTTTGGTCAAATAATAAGAGGCCTGAGGAGACAATCACTTCACATAAAAAACAAACGGAAGCAAAAGTATGAAATCGTCTCTGTTCCCCAGCTTGAGAATCATGACATGTTTGGTTTCTTAGGGTCACAGACAAATGGCTACACACCTTTAAATTCAGTGAAATTCCAGGTTGTGTATTACGAGGAAGGTTCTCTCTTTCAGTTCTGACAGGTTCTGTGGTTGTTCTGCTCTTCAAGATGGTTTGATGGCTGCAAAACACAATCAGACCATGTCATTTAAAGGCTCTACTTGTCGTTCATATGCCACCTCATGATTAAGGAAACAGAAGGCCCTGATAACCCGTCAAACTACAGTCTGTAAACAACACTGAAACACTAATAGATTGTTCCATGTTACATATTGTACACTGCGTGTAATTAAACAAAACAACACTGTCTGTGTTATATTACAAAGGTGTATTACTATGCATTGTTCTGAAGACTCTGCGCCTTCTTTTCTCCAAATCCTGAGCAGATGAATTTGGAGCTCAGCTCATCCAACTCCCCGATCATGATGACCGCCACATCTCCATCCCGACCGAGCAGCCAGCTCACATTCTTACTGTTGGCTGGAGGAAACACAAACACAAAACAGTGAATAGAGTTAGTTTGGCACTGAGCATGAACATGTTTTATACATCTAACTAATGCAAAGATTCTCTATTCAAAGAGGGGTTCAAGAAACAAAAAATTAAAGCACTATATGATAATTTTACAGGAAAGGCTGAGTCTGAAAACAGGGCGAGTGAGTCAGCATTTTTGCACTTCTGGTTCCCTCGTCTCGAAGTCAATGTTTTTGTTTGAATAGGGTTTTGGGGAGATGCCTGAAGTAAGATCTGTGGTTAACACGAGCTGAAAAGATGTTGTTGTTTTCGTTTAACGATTACGTCAGTAAATACCCCTCTTGTGCATTTTGAAGCTTTTAAGCGTCTTAAAAAGTGCCGATATGAGACTAGCGTAGTTCTAGTTTCTAGCCTTACATCAGCTTCTTACATTTGCCGATACAAAAGTCATAAAGTGATTTGCAAAGACTATCTTGGTCGACAAAATGTGCAAGTATTACAAGCTTATTTTCTGCAATATTGCAAATTCCATTTGGCTTTTTGATGAGGGAACTGGTGTGATGCTAACTTCTAGGTTGACCTACAAAAAAGGATGAATTGAGGCTGCTAGACCAACAGGTGCAACAGCTGGTGGGACCCAAGCTGCAAATCACAAATGAGAGCGGACCTTCATAGATGATATGAGCAGAGCTGACAGGGAAACGCTACCCTCGTTTTTTGTATGAATATACTTGTGAGGACCTTCCACTTACTGTTTTCATTCCATAATCTCAACAAAGTCTGGCACATTTTTAAACACAATTCCTAAACTATCAACACAATCTCTGCGAGGACATTGAGTCTACACGCGAGCACAACAGGGCGCACACACTTCCACGACATATAAACATGTCACTGTTTTGTGACTAATGTTTTGGGAGCATACAGAAGTTACTTTATAGAGAGAAACCAGCTGACGTGGGCTCAGAGGGAGAGAGCTCGTTGGGTTTAAAAGAGGTTAACATACTGTATTTCCATAGTGAACTGGTTTTGCCAGCTTGCCCTGTGGATCGTATTGTAGCAGGGCATACCAGGATGACAAATGCAGCAGTCAGAGAATCTTGGGAAACAAGTTATTAGCCCGATCTGACAGCTACAACAACACCTTTGTCAGGGGAGATGAATCCTGTCAGCTGAGTAAAGGGACGAACCGAATGTGACTGTGTTGGCATAATGTCCTCGGCCCCACTGACAGACATAATTTTCAAACTTTTGGCATATCTTCAGAACAAGGCCAAAGTAACTAATCTGAGTCATGTCTCTGCCTGGTGTGAATGTCACCGGTTTGCACGCAACATAACACACCATGCACACAAACGCAGCAGCATATAGTCATGGGTCAGAGTACATAAACACAAATGACCATAAAGGCAGCCTAACCACAGCAAAAGTCCCATGCTCCAAAAAAGGCTAAAGGCTGAAACTGTTACCGGCAGCCGGGAGAGACGCCGGCTTCATTCAATGCATGAAAACAAACTTGGCATGTGAGCTCTCCCACAAGGCCGTCCAGACAACTCTCTCTTTGTTTCTCAAAACACATGCATTTCCTGCATGCTTCCTGTTTCGCTCGCTGCTAATTGTTTGAGGGATTGAGTCTTGACTCACTTCCTATTTTTACACAGAAACACAAACTATCCACCACTTCCTCTGCGTTTGCAGCCTGTGTGGAGAGGAGCCGTGTGGCCATGTGATCTCAGCCTGCAGTCTCCATCCAGCCTGCTCAGGACAGCTGCATTGGTCATTAAGAGATAGAAAGACCACTGTTCTCTCACTCTACGCCACAGCTGATAAGTGCTTTGTTATTAGCCAAGACAAGGCAGATCACTCAGTCAGTTAATGCTCCAACTGCAGTGTGCTAGCCGTTGATTGGCTGTAAGTAATATTTAAGTGGGTTTTTCAGCAACTTGTGTCTACTTCCAAACCTTCTGTAGTCTGCTTTGTCATCTACAGTAGGAGCCCTTCTTTGGAATATAAAAATAGAACCATTTAGTCATAGTACTTGCTACCACTAAAGAGAAAATGCAGACAGGCAAGATTCTGAACAATTCGTCAAACCGGTTTCAGGAAAGACTTGTGGCCTTCTGAGTTTCTAATTGTTTTGTTTGACTGCATGTATGCCGTTGACTCAGACTCTCGCTTTGGAGAAGAAGACAGTTCCTGATAAACCCATTTAGCTTTCACACTACACCTGCATTCCCCCCCCCCTCGCCGACATGTTTTTCTGTCAATATAGTTTCCATCAAACGCACGCTCCACACATGAGCGACACCTCTGACACAGTGAATATTCTTCTCTGAGTTCTCTGATTCAGGCTCACGTGGTGTGGTGTGAAAGGGAACAAAATGATCTAAGTGAGAGCAAAATATGTGTACGTGAACACGTACACACGCAGCCAGCATACTTTCCAGTCACCGTGACGTAAATATCTCAATCACAATGGCACTTCTTCAAACACTATTAGTACATGTCTCCTCACACACTCATTTCAGAGTGAATATTATTTTACTGTGACATCTAATTTACTTTGCTTGTGTAAATGTTAGTGTCATCTGCGAGTGGGACGTCAACGTGAACTCACCGACATCATCAATCTGCTGTAATTGTTTAGGACTTCGGATATAAATAGAACTCCATGCGAGTGAAGTATAAACGCTCTTTGGTTTCTGTCTGTATATATCGTGCTGCATTACAGACACATTAATGTGGAGCAGCTGGTGTTTGTTAGCCCGAGTTTTCATTTCAGGAAACTTTAAACTTGCCAAATGGCCTTCTGGTAAACGCTGTGCCTGTCTTGGCCTCCAGCACACTGTAGATAAACGGGAAGAAGACAACTTCACAAAGGTGATGTGTTGGTGTGGTTACCTTTTTTTGGCTTTGTTCGTTTGCACTCAGCGTCCCCTCCTTCACTCTCTAGTTTCTTCTCCAGTTCTTCCCAGCGTCGTACCTGCTCCTGGCGCATTTTCAGGAACAGAGTCTTTTTCTGGTCCTCATTAAGAGCGTCCAGCACATCGGGGTCGATGAACATGTCCTTTAAAATCTGCTGGAGCATGTTGGCGGCTGAGTCGTGGGTTAACTTGGCACCACCTGGCCAAGTGGTTGGAGGTAGGAGGTGCTGCCCCTTGGCCAGCAGCTTCTTGAGGTGGACAGCGTTTGGTTTATAGTCTCATGTCATCCGAAGAAGACTTTCACAGCTCCATTGATCCTGAAATCACTCGTATTTACCCCCATAAACTCTTCTTCATCAATCGAGGTGCATGCTCATCCTCCTAAGGTACAAACTCACACACAGAATCCTGTTTCCTCTCTGTGTTGTGCTGACGGTCTCCCCACCCTACTGAGATGTCAGTACTCTTTGTCTTTGGAGATCATCATTGGGACTTTCTACAAGAAAAGAAAAACAGGAAACACTTGAAACAAACATTTGGAAGATTAAGTTGTGCGCTATAGATACTACATTTTTTTCTTACGTCCTATATATTTCTTGATCCCACCTTTGTCGCATTCAGAAACTGTTTCCTTCCAGCCATTCCTTTAGAAAGTCGGTTTCAGTTGGCTATGTTGTCCCTCCCTTCATGAATACGGAAGAGCCCAAACCCTGTTTCTAAACTGACAAGACTGTAGCCCAGAATGGGAGGAGATTCCAAAGCAATGGGACTGTTTGTGTCATCAGTAACCCACCTCCCTCCTCCCTCCCTCCCTCCCTCCTCCTCCCCCTCCCCACCACACATCCCTTTCCAAACCCCTGTTCCTTTCTCCCCCAAACTCCCATGAGATAGCGGCTCCATTTTAACATTGTCAGTTCCTGGTTGTAAGAGGAAAAACAACAACAACAGGGTCGTAGGCCAGGACAGCATGAGCCGGTTTCTTTAATAAGGAGATTGCAATGGACTCCTCCAATCACAGTGGGTAGTTAAACAATGGCTACCACATAAGCAGCACTTGGAGGGAAAGAAAGCTTGTCTCAGACTGAGAAGTATCACACTGCTGGAATACAGATGTGTCTACTAAACACATTGTAGGGTGCAGAGAAGGCAACCCAGGGAAAGGGAAAGTACGTAAGTGATACAAAACAAAGGGGAGTTGTAAGAGAAGGGTAGAATTCGCTGAAGTACTCACAGTGGGATGTAGACAGCCGCTCCACAGCAGAGTATGCTAACTAAGCTGAGAGAGTCAGAGCGGCTATGGGTCCTCCTTGTCTTTGTGTGTATGACTGGGCTGATGACATCACAGCATTCCATAATCTCCCTCCCTCTCTGCCTCTCTCTCTCTCTCTCTGTTTCTCTCTCAGGCACATACACACACTCTTTTTTTTTTTTTTTTTTTAAAGGGGGAAGACAGCAATTCAGGAAGTTGAACTCACACATTAAAGAAGTTGTAAAAACAAAGAGAAAAAAGGGCACTAAATCCTATAACCTAAACTTTCAAGCTCCCTTTTCCGTAACTGCTCTCCCACCCACAAAAAAATCCACATTTAAATACATTTTACATCAACAGTGCATATATATATATAAATAAATAAAAATTCTAGTAGTTTATACATAGCCTACATTTACATAAACTAATAGATAGATGTATTTTATTGATCCCAAATTATTGTGATACAGGTTTTATACACCATCAATATAAATGTTTAAATATAAGATTGCAGTTTATTTAAATACATATTAAAATGAGGTAGAGAGAGAGAGTATAACCATGTGTGAATTCCCCATGTGAAAGGTTATTGAATGAGCACAACAGAGTGGACTGTGGTTCAAACCTGCATTTAAAAGGCTGAGCTAGCTCTAATAGACAGAGGTGAGGTGTTGTAGAGGCGTATTGCTTTGAGGAGGAAGGATTTCCTGTATCGGTCTTTGTGACAGCAAAGCTGAATCAGCCTTAGAGGAAATAGTCTGTCCAGTGATGAGAAACGTATGTAGAAATGTGGTACATTATTACACATACTGCACCCACGCCTTCTTGTCTCTTCTTCCTTTAAATGATGACTTTGTACTTAAGAAATTTGCATGACGGATGTCTTGATATAATGCCAAGTACTGTGACATAAAAACATGAGCTCAGGTGGTGTAAATGTTACGTTGTGTTCAAGGAGGGTTTATTTGAACTAAGCAATCAAGCTTAGTTAGTGGCCTATCATGAACGTAGTATTTCTCAACTGTATGTACAGATGCAGGAAGAAGCTCAGGAAGCTCTGGTAAAAAAATGTCCATGTGCCTTGAGGCATTTAATTATACCACATCGAAGCCATCTTCTCTCCCTTCTGTTGCTGAGCCTCTCATTTATAGGTAAAGAGCATCCTCTAGTGGTCAGAACCATAGAAGCCGGCAAAGAATTACGTCACCACCATGGCCAAACTGCTTCAGCATATAGCACAAAATAATTAAGATGAATAAAAATGGCAGCAACGGGTAATGAGGAGGCAGCATTTCCCGACATAATGCTGGAAAGCTCAGCAACACCACAGCACAAACAAACCCGCATGCAGGCGCTCTTACACAAAAAGGTAAAAAGGTGGCAGGACGTTGCACAATGTAGCAGCATACTCATAGTGCAGTGCTGTCAGGGAATGCTCAGGTGATGTCGACCATTGTTGCAGCTTCAATTAAATAAGAAGAGCTAGCATTGTGGCAGCTGAACCTGTTTTCTTAATCTTCCCCAGCAGCATACCTGTGAGCAATTATTGCTGACTGACAAACTCCCAATCGAAAAAATAAAAGGATTTAGTACACTGTGCTTTCACAAGCATAGTCTCGTGCTTCCAAAGCGGTGATGACCTAAACCAATCCTCTGTGTGGGTTTGTGTTGCCATCTGGGCTGGAATCCATCTTCAATTCAAGCACATCTCCTTCCTCCTTTCACCCTTCCTCCTGGCCAGCAGGGGGGCCAAGAGGCTGAGAGACCCTCGATTTCCCCCCACAAAGCCCAGACACATAAATGTGCTGCAGAAAGGCCTTTGAGCATGTCCACACCCTGCACTCTGACCTCTCTGGTGGTGGGAAGTACAAACTTAACTCACCTTTTTATTCACATTTTTTTGTAACGTGGTTTCTTCTGGCGCAGTAGGTGGTCGAGGAGAAGGCTGTTTAAAGTAATAAAAACCCTCTTGACGTAAAAGGCCCTGCATGGCGACATCTCCCCATGTCATAGCAACTCGTTTTAGAGGCAGACACAACACCGAGGCAGCTGATGATCTGGTGAAGGATAATGGCTGGCTTATCCTTATTAATATTGATCAGATAAACTATTCATTATCCTCTTCTATATCTCACAATTAATAAGCATTACACCAGAACTGTAGCTTGGGACTAGACACTTATGGAACTTGTAAATAGCTATTAACTTAATTAAAGTATAAATAAACTCTGTGACCCGCTGTTCTTGTGTGAATCACTATAGCAGTCGGGAAAACTTCAAAACCCGGATCAGAAATGGTTATTTGCAAACAAAACTTTAAAGACCCGGTTATGTTGGGTCGGGGTCAATAAGCTGTCCTTTTTCAAATGATAAGTGAAGCTCATAGAACGGCAGTCGTTGCGTACAGATGATCACAAATAGCATAGTCGGGTTGATTAGAGAACAAAGTAATGCTTTATTTTACAGCCCAGTATTATACATACAGCACTAATGTTGAAATTGCTAAGAAGACATGAGTCATCAGTAACTTGTCATTGCAAAGTTTGCATTTTAAAGGCTGTAAAATTAAGCTTTAGTAATTAGTATCATTGTAAATGTAGTCAGACATTGTGGACAACACTACATCAAAATCAAACATACTCTTCATCAGTGAATTGAGGACATTTTGAGAAGGTCTTTTTTTTTTTTTTTGTCTCCAACAAGAAACGAAACATAAAGAACACGTACATTTTCAATGTAGATTTTTCCCTCATTGGGTAAATTAAATTTATTTTTGAAATTTGTCAAATGTACATAAATTATATTTAATGCATCAAAACCAAATGAGCAAATCAAATACTTTCTTTATCTTAAAAAAGAAAAATAAGAGACATTCTTTGTTGAGATAATTTTAAACAAGTATTGGTCAGGCATTTCATTAAAACCTGGGAAAGCAAAGTGCTACACACGACAACCACTGAAGACAGTTCACCATACACCTTAATGAGAATTTGACTGAAGCACCTTTTCTTAGCTTAAAGCTAAAATAGAGATTTCACTCGTTTTTTTTTAAAGTTTTCCTTTTCACAAAAACTCCCATTGTGTGTTTATAGTCTACCTTCAACAACCCACTAAGCCAAGTTGGGCCTTTTCCTAAAGAGAGGCATACTTGCAGTGAGCATTTCAAGTTAAAGTACTTATGTGAACTGCTTAACCCGACAGGCTGCTAAGACCTTGGTTTACTATATTTTCCTCCAGGATGGAGCTTTGAGTGCAAATAAAGGCATACAACTCCTTCATGAGAAATAAACATGGAATTCAGCCACATGCTTTCAAATAGTAATCATATATTTAATTGATATACATATATTGCCACCATTGGCACATACGATATTGCACACAGTGATGAAATGTTGCACAGAAAAAATAGATATATTTTTTGTGGGCGAAAAACATTCCAAAATTACAAAGAACGTGGAATAACGCTGAAAAGGTAAAACTAAGAAAAAACAAGAAAAGAAAGAAAGCAAGACATGCTTGCTGCTCCCCATTAATTGAGCGACTCACAACTTACACATAACTACCCAAGCCGTAGAATGAGCGTTTCAAAAGGGAGGGCCTGTCAACGATACTTGATATTATTACTACTGATGTTCCCAATCGGCCCCTTGCTCCCCCCTCCACCGCTAAAGCGCTGAGCTAGTGAAGAGCCAACTCCTCTGCATCATCTTGCATCTAGGTGACCGCCTCCCTTTCCATGTTTACATGTAGGCCGATACCTGGATGGCTGGAGAATGGGGATGGCAATGAGGTTAGGAAAGAAGGAAGGGTAGCAGGAGGAAAGAAAAATAAAAGAAAGGTTAAGAGATTGTGTGCGCTAGCACACACAAGAGGGCTGAGACACACAAAAAAAAAAGAAAACTGGAAGAAAGAGAGAGGAAACGATAACCAAAAGAAGCCAAACTGCGATCCAAAGCACCAGGCCAGCGTGTAAGCATGCGGAGCGTGTAAGGCACCAGGCCAGCATGTAAGCTGAAGAGGATGCTCCCAATCAGGTATCGTTCAGGCTCTACCAGAGGCTCCAGAAACAGGTGGTCGAGGACCGTCTAGGTTGCTCGTTTCCAGTCAATCTAAACAGGGGAGCGATCGTTAAATTCTGAGGTAAATCTGACATTTATCTGATTGTTGCCAGTTTCTCTGGAGTTTACTGACAGAGTTTATAAAACTGCTATCACACATCTATGAGATGCGACCGAACTGCTCTGGAAACCAGTTGTTTTTCCGTGTGGCAGCCCAAATATTTACAATTAGACCAAAACAGAATCTCATCACCCCCTCCCCGGTTTTTATATATATGCTTACAAATCTAAAGTGGAGCTATGGATGTGTGTCCACTGAACTTCACACCTTCGGGTCTTAAACTTAGAGGGCAAATCCACTGACACACTGCTGAAGGTTCACCAGTGGGTGAACTGAACCCTCCTCACCTCGATGGTGATATTTCGATTTCTGTTTGCAAGGTCACTCCTTTCACGATCGCACTTTGAAAACAACTTCCACTACAACTACACCAAGCCTTTGGATGGAAATCACTCAGTACTCCAACTTGAGATCGGTACACTACAGGCGGATAAAGATACGTATGGAAGAGTCCTTGAGCCAATATTTTGGGAAAACCAACGAAATCTATCTTAGTGCAGATTAACATGCAGCAACAGCACTCCTTGGCCCCATTTGGACTTTTATGACTTGAACAAGATCACAAGATGTTTCAGATGTACTAACCAATAATGCTCTGCTGAATTTTTTGATTCTTTTTTTTTTGTTAGTTTTTTTCAGACCACTACGCCAATCAGCACAGTGTGTCGGGTGTTTGTCTTGTTAAGAAATCTGCAATTCAGGCCATTTGCTACACGTCGTCACTGCGTTTCCTCTATCGATTACACATTTAGTACCTTTTTTAAAATGAACACATTGCATTAACAACGAGACACAAAGGTAGTCTATAATATATCCATCCGCATGGCAACAATGTCAACTGAAACAAAACTACAATATTAATATTTCTTTGAATGCCTCTGGCAAACGTCACCGAGAGCCGTCGACCAGTTCAATATATATTTGATTTTTATGCAATGCATATTGCACGACAAATAGAGCACTTATTTCATTGGATGAAAATGCCTAAATGGTCCTTTTTATACTGCATGACATCTAAAACCAGTTTTCGAAGCAGGCCTAGCCCTCATATGATTAATGTGTAAACACATCTCTACTCACAGGTAAAAGGGAAATAGGATGGCAAGTACACGCAACAACCTTTTACCGAGTTTTTCAAATTTTGTTTTTTGAAAATTAAGAATATCCGATTTGTGCTGAAGTCATTAGCTCACGTGAGAACAGGAAACAGGGTTTTCCTCCGGTTCGAACATTGTAGACACTTCTTTCTTTTTTTTTTTTTTTTTACAATAGCTTTAACTGGTACAAAAGTTTTCTGTTAATAAGGGAAATAAACACTCAGTTCAATATTGTTTGTCAAGTACGAAACAATGTTCAAATATAATGTTATTACTTTGTTTAGCAGCCTGTTACTGTATTAATGGTGGATAAGTGGGGTAACATCCAGCGATGAGTGACAACATGTCATAACTGTCAGGTTGTGGAGGTTTATATTGTGGGTGATGCTCCCTTGGAGTTAAACCATTACAGTTAAATCTTTAGATTTCTTTCTTTGTACAGTAGAGTTTTTAATTATATTTCTCTTGTTATTTTCATTACTCTTGCATGTTTTTTTGTTTAGTTTTGTTGCTATCTATATCAATCCTCGTCTCCATCGTCCGCCTGCATCTCCTCTTGTTGCTGCTGCTCGCATGCCCTCTTCTCGCGCTGCTTCTCCTGGATCTTCTTCATCTCCTCGGCATATTTACAGAAAGTATTCCCAAATTTGGACCACACTTTGTAGGGCACCGTGATCGAGTTGCGGTACGTTGGCTTCACCTCGCTCACCCTCATGAACACCCCGTACTTATTGGATCCGACGTCGAAGAAGAACCGCTTGTTGTCCACAGTCAATGATGACCCTTCGGGCAACTCTGCAGGTTCGTCCTCTACACCGTAATCGTCAATAAGTTTAGCCAAAGCGTCACGAAACTCAATAAGTCCCTGTGCAGGCAAAGCGATCGTCTGGCCTTGCGTGGATCCCAAACCGGGCCCCCGGTTAACGGTCTGTCGAATCCTCAGGAACCGTCCCCTCTGGTTCTCTTTCAGATCCATATAGTATTTCCGATTCTCTCGGACCAAGAACTCGCTTTTGAGTGCTCGCCGGGGCTCGTCTTGCACCAGCGCCGGGTTGCTCGGACCCAGCTGGGCGTAATGTTCGATGAAGTCCCCCAAGTAGTCACGGAACTCGACCGCCACGGACATGGAGAGAGTGAGGCGGCTCTTGTTTCCACCGGCCCCGACTTCTGCTATCTTTAAGAAGCGGCCTTTCGCGTTCTGCTTCACGTCCAAATAGAAGCGTTTGTTTTGGATGTCAACCCGCTTCGACGCCAGCTCCTGTGTCTCGTGCTGGAGCCCAGTTGCCGAGCCCGCCCCTCCTGTCGCTGGTTGCATGGAACCGAAGCCTGGGCCCGTGGCTGCTCCTCCCTGCTCACTACCACTGTCTCTGTCCGCCATGATGCTGCCTGCCTGCCTTCTCCCTCTGTCTGCTGCAAAGCCACGGCCAGCTACAGCGCACGCCGGAGCTCTCGCGAGATCTACACAGAAAGGAATGAAAAGGCGAAGGGGGGGGGGGGGTGGTTAATGCAGAGCGAGGACGCTGCGTTTTGTCATACGGTGTAATGTCAAGAGCTGTCAGTCATATCGAAAGCCAAACCAACGGGATGAAGAAACGCGTCTCCCGGAGTCTGCTTCAGTTTCGATTCGTCGAAACAGCTTCTGAAAGTGATGGTGTTCATGGTGTTACCTGGAAAGACCCGAGCATGCCCTCTGCTTAAAGCAAGAGTAGTGTCTGTGCAAGTTGAATGTGCTAATATATATATTTTTTACTTTTTACAAAAAATAAGTTAGTTGTGTTAGTTTGACACAATAATTGCTTATCTTACGTTTAAGGGTTTTGTCTGTAGATACAAAATTAGGCCAAGCTCATTGATTTCTTTCGACTAAACTCATGTGAAGTCATAGCAATCAAGTCCCTCAAGTAGCTTAAACTTCAACAAAATGAAACATATTTTTAATAATTTAACTGCATTGTATTAAGCTAGTAAACTAATAAAATAATATCAACAATAAGACTAATAACCACGAGTGAATCATTGTGTCGCCCACTACCAGCCCTGTAGACCCACAGCTAACTGATTCAAAACGACTTCATCTTAAGGTATATTAACTTTAAGGCCTAAATAGAATAGGCTAACAGAAATGACACAGCATTGTAATTCATGTCAATTATTTATTTCAAAACTTGTGAATTAGCAACATCACACAATATGTTTCCAAAACGTTATAATTTGTTCTCTCACAACTGAAAATTAGCTTTCCTGGCATGACAATGACGTGCAGTACTGCCAAATAATGTCGTTTAATCCATGTTAATGTTTTTAGGAACTTTCTTTAGGAACGCAAAGCTTACCTCCCCACATTGTGTCAAATAGGTGATGTCAAAAGCAATACAGATATCCATTTTGTTAAGGTTCGAAAGAGAACAGGTAAGAAAACTGAAACTCCTTCAGTGAAGTGTAGCTGTGTTCAGCTTTAAGTCATTTCAGACGCACCATTTTCACCGTGGAAAATGTATGAAAACGTAATTTAGAAACTTTAAAAACAACAAAGCCTCGGCCTACAGTCCAAACACACGTCCGCCCGTAAACTATCTGGACCTAAATTTGCAGCATAAGTGCATGTAGCACACGAGCGCGCTCACGAGAAACACATAAAAGCATAATTTCTCATCTTTGGCCTTGTCACCACCAAGTCACGTCATTCTTGACTGGCAGTCCACACCTTACCGCCAGGAGACTTTTTTTCAATGTGTCGTCACCCAGGTAATGTCCGCATGGTCTGACCGTTGTGTGTGTTGCAGTATAGTGGCTATGCCGCTAATAGGCCCTCCTCTTATATTTAGGGATTCTACCTGCCCAACTGACTGCATGCTGCCATCGCATTAAACGACAAGTGATGTTAATTGTACAGCTTTTTTTTTTTTCTACAGCAGCATATGAAGTAGAGGCCTATTTGGATAAATCTGTGTTGGATACGCCTGCAAATGATCGCCTACCCATAATCTGCTGTGCTCTTATTGTGCGTATTTAGACGTTAGTACAGCGTAGACAGTTATTGTTTTTAAAAAGACCAAAACATGCAAATGTTTATACGTAGGCCTACACATTCATAGGCTATTTAGATCTTTATATATGAGATGATGTGGTGTAATTATTGGTCATGCCCAAGCTGATTGCAAATAGCTTTCAAATTTTAATTTGAGCATTCTAATTTTGCATTTACGTGTACTCGGAAAAAAAAAGTAACCAATCAACACATTTTTAACACATTTTAATAGCCTTCACACAACATATCTTTTACGGGTCACTTGTGAAAATACTGTTCCCATGCTGGTGATACTTTCTCCACAGTGTATCGTCCTTCTTGTCCTCCTGCGCAGACCTTTCACTTGAACCATATGCTACATATGGCCTTTTAGAAAATGTTGCTTAAATTCGTTTGTGCGAATTTGCTACTGCTATATGCATTTATGAGTGTTTAATATTTTTCTGAAACAAACAAACTTTGGCATTCCTTGCAAAACATATAAGAAAATGATAAATAAGCTTAGTCCTCCATTTTGAAAATAGCTGTAAAAAAGACGCCAGACTTTTATATTTGAGTCATTAAACCAACAATTTATTTTCATGTTAAAAACTAATTAATACGACTTTTGTTCTCATTATTCAATATGGCCTTTACATATTACGGGTTAATCATTTCTGTCAATCAAGTCAAATTGAAATATTCATGAGAGTAACTAATACAACGTCTAAATGAGAATTTCACGTGCGTTTCTAACCTAAACCCTTAGGCTACATAGATGCAGAATCTCACCTCAAACCCTTCTCATTTTTAATACCGATGTATCTCGGAGACTCTGTGAGTGCGTAAAAGCGTTCAGTGTTTAAATTAGACGCTCATCCAGAACTCTTGTAGTCAATATTCGTTATGCACTTCACACAGATTCATCTTAAAAGTGTAAGCATTAATCCTTAACACTTTATTTAGCTTAAAACGAGTTGATTATTATAGGGTACTGTCTGTGATCCTTTTTTCGAGGTTTTTATGACCTCATTGTTTGAACATGCTTATCATTTTATTTTTCTGCCTAAAAAAAAAAAAAAAAAAAAAAACTTACCACATTGACAGTTTTGTCGGGAAAAGATAAGAAACGTGAAAGTGTCTTCAGTGTAGGCGTCCCAAAGGCTGGCCTGAGTGGAGTTCAGTAACATGTAGGAAGTCTAACCCAGAAACTATACTTCCAATCTGTTTACATTTAACGATGCCTTTAATTTATTCTATAAGCCTACTAGATACTTATAACTCCTAATTATGTCACACAGTGGAATATTAAGACATTTATTATATTTATAATAATTGTAAATGTCAAATGTTGCTTTGTACTTGTAAATAATAAAGCTTTCCACAATTCATTGCCCTACAATACTGAATAATCCTCAAGTGAATGACCATATAACATAAAGTAATGTTAAATGGACAAGTTTAGGCCAATATTGTGATATGGATAGTCTGAATGCCAAAGGAGAACTAATTATTTACGTTTTATGCTGGCAATTGTGAAGTAAAAGGAAATAATAAATAAATAAAAAAAATACTATCATATTAGAGAAATAAAATATTTAAATTAATTATTGATAATATAACAACCATTAGGTTTAAAACGTTCATTTATTGATAATAAACCTAAAATAACGTTGACGCAACATTACGTCTACTCTGCCTGGCGAGGTGAGAATGCCGGATCAAAAGGAGTTACCATAGTTTAGTCTCTTCTATAACTTTTTTTATTTACCTTAAATCTAATCCTTTAGATTTATTGTATAAAATAATTCAGATGTGCCCTGCAAAGGTCACGCGGCCTCCTGATCTGCTCCACGGCAGACATCACGTCTTCTCTCACAAAATCAATAATGTTTGGGGAATTAAAAAAGTGAGTAAATTATTAGGGATCGTATTAAGACAACCCAACATTCACGTATAGCCTAATGAAATTAAAACATATCAAATAATAAAAAGGAGGACAATTCATATAGCTTGTTATATCATTTTGATGTTCAGCAATCAAAATGATATATGCTGAAACTTACGCGTTTATCCTCAACTCAGCAAAGCAGCGGCTGGCCTTATTGTGTTTTTTGTTCTTAACCAGGTGATAAACACGAGTATGTATGCATGCAAAATAGGTAAGTAATTCATACATAGCTTATTTTAGTTTAACTATGGTGTTGTTTTGGTATGAGATATACGTTTTAAGCCTACCTGCGTAAAATGTAATATCAGCGTTCCTCTTGGGGCCTATAATGGCTATAAAATGTACTCATTTATGATATAATCCGGCTTTCTAATCCAAAACCTCACCATGTTACATTTCTGCCTAATTTACTTACCCAACAGTATATAGCCTGTCATCTCAGATGCTCCAACCAACCTCAAACAATCTGTCAATTTAATAATCTATCATCAATACGCCTATTTTTCCGACCAATTTAACCATGAATATTAATCAGTAAAATCGGTTGTGATTGGATGCCGAAGCCACGTCCAATGCAGATTTCAGCCAAAAACAAAAACGTGTCGTCTCATTATTTTAACAGGCTGCCGCAAAGTTTTGCCCTACATCTCAACACCGGAATGCGGTGGCGCTGCTCCAAATGCAGCTCCATTATTATTATTTCACAGGCACGGCTGTATGCTCAAGCATGTATTTTGCTTCTGTCAACCCTGCGAGGCAATGACATATATGCTTGGCTGCACGTTAGGACACTTAAATGCTGCATTGGCATTAACAATCCGGGATGACATGTAAATAACGCGTCATTCCGACCAAGCGAGACCCCCCATAAACCTACCTTACACCGCTCAGTCCGCAGTGGGCAGCGTCTCACAGACACGACCGCGAGCCGCAGAGGACGAGACGAGGCAAATGGCACATGGGAATGCGCTCGGAGGCCTTTGTGACACCGCAGCAGACCGCTTCTGCCTGCTTTCACAAAATGGACAAGGAACGGCGAGTCGTGGCACGGAGAGAGAAACACACGCACAAGTTCAACGCCGCACGCTTCACCTCTGATGTCAACACGCACTGAGGAGGAACTCAGAGAACACGCGCCTCCCCTTGGTGCGATCGAGGAATTGCAGCTTTGCCTTCCGGTGGTAACAGGTAGGGCAACAGTCTTTGCAACTGTGAGGGAAGAAAGCAAGTGAGCGGTGCCTGTCGACACCGTGTCCAATTTGGGGTCGATATTATGTCGCGTGTTTCAATCTACACGGCTGCATCTCTGAGGAGATGAGTGTTACATCCACGCACACATCTTGTGCTCCATACTGTGATGAGTGTTGTTTAAAATAAAAAAAAGCCCATTGTCGCTTCTTGATACAGCAAAGAGGGCTTCAGATCACACAGTAGGCTAATACATGTTTGTATACATTGTCTTACATCAGCACTCTATGGGCCCTAATTTATGAGTGACATTTATAGGCCTGGTAGAATTTCAGCACCACGGAGAGCAGCCAGATCTGAAGAGCATATGTATTGCTGTGGGTGTATTTTATACACATTAGTTTGTTCTGAGCCTCCCAAATTCAATACAAACACGTATTGCCCTATATACGCAGTCCACACTGAACATATTTTATTGGACAGGATTCAAATGTGGTACCCTGCTAATTTAGTACATTTACCGTTTGAGTTCAGCAACACTTAGAGAAAGTATGTTTCTAACAGCTCATAAATACACTGTGGTCAGCAGATGTCGCTCTTTGTGAATACTGTCAGTTTAACATCCTGTACCCGCATTCTATTTGGCTTAAACCAAACCATTACAATCATAACTAAAATCATAAGCATCGCTATTGATGATGACCTGTTATATTGTTGAATTATGTGTTTCCTCAGAGTCATAAAGTGTTCCCTCAGAGTCATAATATCACGTGAACACATTCAATTATTATATTAAGAACACAGAGAAGGATACTTTCATTGATTTTTCTCCTTCTAAAGTGATTTATATGTTTTTTTTTTCTATTTTGGACCCCGTGTTGCCGCTGTTTTAGCTGTATGGATTTAATGCGGTGGTTCAACATCAGTTTTTTAGAGGCAGAGCAGTGAATGTGACCTGCATGCAGGGCATGACTTAATGGGATGAGACGCAAAAGTCATTCAAAACAGTCTCTTGAAGAATCTGAAATGCTTTCGCAGCCTTAGTCATCGCAGCCATATGATTTTTTTTAGGCCCACCGGACTATATATGCGGATGCATTTTTCAACGTGAACCTATTTCCTTATCGGAGTAATGCCTTGGCTACAGTGAGATGCGATTTTGGGGAGGGACGGTCATGGATTTAGGATTCCGTTTGTTTCATTGTAACGTGAGATCGCCGCTGATGAAACACCATGGAGTGATTGACATACAGTAGCTGGGTTTCGGGAGAGAGGAGATCGACCCTTTGGTCCGTCGGTTGCCTGTGTCTCAGTGCTCCGATCCTGCGTTTTTGTTGACGGAGCCCCTTGGCAATCGGCATTTTCTCGCCGTCTGTGGCTAGTGGGGAGGCGGATAGAGAGCCACGGTGGAAGGCGCCGTATTAGCGTTATAGCTGCCGAGCAGAAATATTCTTTTATTTTTTGGGGGGGGAATGAAACGTGGCTTATGTTTTGCGACCGGACTACCAAACTTGTGGTTCACTGCAGCATTTTGCGTCTTTTCCCTCCGCTGCAGATGATACAGAAAACCATAATAGCGGTACCCCACCACTGCAATTTTTGGGCAAAGATAAGAGTGGCGTCGTCTTGCAGTTAAGGCTACTATGGCAGCATAGGGGGGGGCATCTTCTGGAGGGGAGAATCCGCCAATTCCTCGCTTAGCCTATATCTACGATGCCTTATTAGCAGAAAGCAGTCACTGGATTTGAAACCCAGCATCATCCCGCGGTTTCCCCCGTTTCAAAGCTGCTGTTTACCCATTAGAAAGCGCTCGAAAAAGCAGTGGATCCCGATGGCATGGACACTTATGCAAGGTCTGCCGCGCTGCCGTGCTACTGGAGCCTACTTGCTGTCTCTTCATTTAACCCAGCTCCATCGCCATCGCCCCGCAACCGAGAGAGCCCTGCCGCAACGCGACCAGCGACCACCGAGCCAAAGCAGGCGGCATGAGGCTTGATTCAGTACATTTATCCATGCTGGTCATCGGGGTCTCATTCGCCTGCTACTCCCCGAGTTTGGATTCCCTGCAGGACCAGGTTTACAAATCCACCGTGGTGATCGAGGGCAAGGTGCAGTCTACGCCTGTGAACGTCTCCGCGGAGCCGTACCGTGTGAATGTCAAAGTGCTAGATGTTTGGCCCCTAAACAGCGGGGGTCTGAAGCGAGAACAGCTCGTCACCGTGGGGGAATTTGGATCTGAGGCTCTGTGCACCAAAGTGAAGAAAAACCACAAGTACATTTTTTTCATGGACCCCACTGACGAGCCCTTGGTTTTCAAAGCATCGTTTGCGCCTCGGGACACGATTGTGAAGAGCCTAAAAAAGGATGTTGGGAAGATCTTGTGTGAGGACTGCGGTAAGTTGATGTATTGTGGATTACCGGTGAAGTCCAACCCGGAAGAATGAACGGTCTGTTAACAGCGCCTGGTTTAGGGCTTTTGGTAACAGCCACTCTGGTGAATTGTGGTGATTTTGGCCACAGACATGGTTTGGAGTCAGTGGGTACCAAATAGGTGCCTAAGGGGCGTCTATGCAGCAATTTTCGACAACTCTCGCAGGCTCCCATAGCCCACATGATCAATCAAACTCTCTTTCTCTCTTTCTCTCTCCCATTCTCTCTCCCCTGAACCGCATCAGACATGCGCCTCGCACTGTTGCTTGTGAGGAATTGCAGTTTGTGTGTATCGAACTGTATCTGCATCCTGCAAACCCGCATTATACTTAAAACGTTTTAGGCACATTCTAATGCATGTTTTTACTTCATATGGCTTCGTATGCAGTTTTGTGTTTTCCCAGATTGTAGCGGCTTCTTATGTGAACATCGACCACATGCAGTCCATGGACCCGGTATCATTTCAGGACCAGGGACAGCGGCCTGTATCGCCGGTATCAGGTGTGGAAAATCACGCTGCCCTAAGCAAACTGGTTCCGAGGCTATATTTAGGCTCCCGCCCTGCTTTAATGCTTTAATACCCTACACTATATGGCATAGGCTATCGTAGTCCTGTGTGCACACATGCAAACATAGGGCTAGCAGTATGTGGTGTAGTCCTAACCTGGAACTTATGGGGTTGTTGTTGAAAAGTACTAAATTATCAATTCTACCACCCACACTTTAGGGTTTCTCCTTTTTAGATTCATGCACAAGGAGTTCAGGGTTGGACTTTGGTCAGTAGATGTCACCCTTAGGTGGAAATTTTAAATCCCACCAGGCACAATTTATTTATGATACGGTGTTATTTAATATATCCATTGTTAATGATGGTATTCAAGTGTATTTAGATTGTTTAGTAGTAGGTTCTCTTGCCCACATGTCTTGCTGTGAGATTTCACCAATGAAAATCGAGGCCAATCATTTTGTTGAGGCTATTGATTGAGAACATACTGTTGCACTGGTGTTGATGCAGTAGGCTGCACACAAATACTGTCATTAACGTGCATTTGAATTCACACACATTTGTGTTTCAAAATGATGCATTGTTTAGCAACTTACGGGTCGCTTTGTCAGTAGTTTTGCGAGAGCAACAGCTCAAACGCCACAGAGAGTGTCTTTCCTGCTCTTCACCAGGGTAATAATTTAATTATAAAGTAGTGTCACTATCTGCAATTGGATCTTAAAAACAGCTCTTGTCACAGCGCTTGTTACTTGTGTCTACAACTGGTGTCCCGTGCTGGTCAGCCTGCAACACCGCTTCAAAATGTGAGGCAGCTCATCTTAAATACTCTGAATGTTTTTAGCTAATTAGAGAATGTGTCACGTATAATAAAACATCTCTTTTACTACCATCGAATAGCACACACAGGTGTTCTTCCACTCAAGTATTGTGGTCTCGAACATGATGTGTGCATCCCTCTTGCATCCTCTTAGCCTGCACTCATGAGACACAAATGCTCCCCTCTCCTCTTGATTTTGCCATACCCACTCTGGTTTTAAACTCATCATCCCAATAGAGAGGTGACACAAAAGGGACCTTATTACCTCTTGAGTTCCTTGAACATCCCCCTTCTGCCACTTAGATAAGCTTATCAGTGACGTGATCAAACTGGCACCGACACCCCACTGTATTACCTGAGGGGGTTGCCACGCCCACTTTCAGGGCCTCCGTTGATCTTTTTTATTTAGTTCAAAGCACCCAACAACATAGCTCATGTGATATTGGTGGGCATTGTAGTTGAGGGGCTTCTTACTTGTTTGTGTGATTGATCTATTCACTGTATCTTCTCTGACCACGCCTCCTCCCTCATCATGCCATTTTAAACAGACAGATAAACAGTCAGTCCCTTGACAGCTTGTCCCTTTGAGTTAATTTATTCAGCAGGGACTCAAGATCAACAATGTTCTGTTTACTGTTTCTTTCCCTCATATTTAGTCCGCTAACACCAAAACAGTGGATCTATATTTTAGGCCATTACGCCTTGAACCTCGAACCTTGAACTGCTGCATAAGCAGCTTTGTCAGGGTCCAGATATTGCTTTGAGGCCCACTTAGCACACATCCCAAACTTGCCTTAAATCCCTCTGGTGCACTAGCTCCCCAGTGTGTGAACCAGGGCACTGAACGTAGATACAAAGTGATGCAGGTGTTGTGTTCCGGCTGCCTGAAAAACAGCCTAGCTACAGTGCCTGCCACCTGCACCCCTTCCTTAGGGCTCAGCTGGGAGCTCTGGGTTCCGACCAAAAAATAAAAGGAACACACCAGCAAATACTTTTCTCTTGCTAGAGATTACAACAAACAAATGCAAACACACGCTCATGTTAAGCAATCAAATCTGTCCGCTCATACTTGCTGCCAGTGTCTCAAGCAGATCAAGTTGTATCTGACTGGAACTGCAACATTATTGTACTGTAAAGAAAG